TTGAGACAAGGTCTTGCTCTGTCACTCAGGCTGGAGTGGTGCAAGGGTGTGAACAAAATGGCTCACTGCAGTCTCAATCTCCTGGGCTCAACCAATCCTGCCACCTCAGCCTCCTGAGTAGCTGTGACTACAGGTGCACACCACCATGCCTGATTAATTAGTTTATTTTGTAATTTTTGTAGAGAAGGATTGCTTCAGGCAGAATCACAGTCATAGCTCACTGCAACCTCAAACTCCTGGGCTCAACTAGTTCTCTTGCCTCAGTCTCTCCAGTATGTGGGACCATAGGAGAGCTCAACTATGCCTTTATTTATTTTTTACTTTTCTTTTTGTAGAGACACAGTCTTGCCCAGGCTGGCCTTGAACTTCTGGATTCAAGTGATCCTCTCACTTCGGCCTCCCAAAGTGCCAGGATTATAGGCATCAGCCACCATGCCCAACCTATACTTGGATTTTTTTTTAACTGTGCCTGGGGTTGGTGCCCCTAGTCCCTGAGTTCTTCAATGGTCAAATGTACTTTCTAACTGCTGAACAGTGGGCCTCTTGAAATAGTAAGGTCACTGCTGGAAGTCTTCAGTAAGATGTGGCATGACTGTCAGGAGGCTACAGGTCTAATTCCTTCAGGGGATGGGAAGCTGGGGTAGTTAGTTTGCATCAAGCCTGGTTTTTTTTTTTTTTTTTTTTTTTGTATTTTTAGTAGAGACAGGGTTTCACCATGTTGGCAGGGCTGGTCTCAAACTCCTGACCTTAGGTGATTCACCTTCCTCGGTCTCCCAAAATGCTGGGATTATAGGCATGAGCCACCATACCCAGCAATTGTTTCCTGGTAGACACAATGATACTGCATCGTATTGTTTCAGTGTAAGAATGAGGTTGAGGCCAGCCTCAATGGCTCACGCCTGTAATCCCAGCACTTTGGAAGGTTGAGGCAGGAGGATCACTTGAAGCCAGGAGTTTGATACCAGCCTGGGAAACATAGTGAGAGCCTGTCTCTTAAAAAAAAGAAAAAAAATTTTAGCCAGGCATGGTAGCTTGCACCTGTAGTTCCAACTACTCTGGAGGCTGAAGCAGGAGGATTGCTTGAGGCCAGAAGTTCAAGGCTGCAGGGAGCTGTGATCACACCACAGCATTCCAGCCTGGGCGACAGAATGAGACCCTATCTCAAAAAAAAGAAACAGGTTGATAAAGATATATGCGGATGATGTAGCACACACTTGTTCACCCTGTTTGGGAACTGAATTTATTTAAAGTAACTGAAGTCTTAAAAAATGGCCTCTTCTGGTTGGGCGCAGTGGCTCATGCCTGTAATCCCAGCACTTTGGGAGGCTGAGGCAGGCGGATCACCTGAGATCATGAGTTCGAGACCAGCCTGACCAACATGGAGAGACCTCGTCTCTACTAAAAACAAAGAATTAGCCAGGCGTGGTGGCACATGCCTGTTATCCCAGCTACTTGGGAGGCTGAGGCAGGAGAATCACTTGAACCCAGGAGGTGGAGGTTGTGGTGAGCAGAGATCACGCCTTTGCACTCCAGCCTGGGCAACAAGAACAAAACTGTCACAAAAAAAAAAAAAAAGAAAAAGGCCTCTTCTGACATCCCTGAAGCTTCCTCAGACTTAGGCTGGAGACCAGCCATGGACGGCCTTCCAAGATGGACCCTTCCTCATAGCAGGTGTCCCAATTCTTTTCTTTTTTTCTGTTTGTCACCCAGGCTGGAGCGCTGCAGCCTCAGCCTCCTAGGCTCCTGCAACCCTCCTGCCTTGGCCTCCCAAAGCACTGGGATTACAGGTGTGGTGAGCCATCATGCCCGGCCTAAGTGTTACATTTCTTGACATGGTATCTTGACTTGTGAGATCAAGGCCAGTTTAATAATGGCTTACCCAGAACCCAGCACATCGCAGGTGGCTGATTTGGGTGCAGGTGTTCACAGGTAAGGCCTGGGGCTATGGAGGGTGCCGGTGTCCTGAGGTGGGTGTTTTGAATCTGGACAAGGCTGAAGGGTGAGTTCTCTGGGCTGGGGCTTCAGCCTAGGAAGGGGAGCCCTAAAGTTGGGCTGGGGTGGAGCAGACCCCAAGAAGTAGAATCAGGACTACCAGCCCGGACACCCTGCCCATCCCTCCAGACCTTTCCTCAGGGGAGCAGGAGCTCCAGGACTCCAGCTGCCTGCACTGGGTTCTTTGTGGGATGAGAGCCAGGAGTATGCTGTGATTATTCCCCAGTTTACAGATGAGGAAACAGAGGCTCAGAGAAGTCACACATCACTTAAGTGGCAAAGGTGGGATCTGAACCCAGGTAGATGGACTCTGCTTATCCACTACACTAACCTTTTCATAAATAAGGGCTGAATGAATGAATGAATGAACGAGTGGAGGTAGCTGAGGCCCAGAGAGGTGAAGGACACACAGGACCAGACTCCCTGTCCAATCTGGCACTTTCCAGACTCCCTGTCCATTGGCACTTTCCAGGCCAATGCAGTCCACTGACCCAAAGGAAGAAGCTGAGGGAAAAGGGGGCCCCCAATGCCAGGCTTCCCCCACACCCCTGGCTGTCCCACTGGCTACGCCCATCTGGGTGGCTCACCTCGAAATTCCTCATCAGTCAGGCGTTTCTTGTGGGTCAGCAAGAAGGGGAGCAGCCCATCCAGGTCGGCAGTGGAGCCCCGGGACACAATGTCAAAGAGGATGGGCCTGTTGAAGACTTTGAGGATGGGGGGCGGCTGGGGGGCAGGGGCTTTGGGGCTCTGCGGCTGCTTCCTGGAGGAGGTAGGGAGGCAAGTTGATGGGAGGGCTCATCCCCTGCCTGCCCCACTGTCCCTGGCCTTAGGGACCCAGAGACTGTGGCGGGGGGCAGGCAGTTGAAGCCCTACAAGGAACAGAGTGAGGTAGGTGGGGCAGCTGTAAAAACTAAGGAATGTTTTATCCAACAAACGATAGCTAGTACTACTGTGTGTTGGGTGGAGACAAACAGAAAGAAAGAAACGCACAGACTGCCCATACATCTATCCACCCATCCACCCACACATCCACTCACCCACCCGTCCATCCATCCATCCATCCATCCATCCATCCTTCCATCCATCCATCACTCATCCATCCATCTACCCATCCACCCTCTCATCCATCTATCCACCCATCCATCCATCACTCATCCATCCATCTACCCATCCACCCACCTATCCATTCATCCCTCATCCATCCATCTACCCACCCACCCACTCCTCCATCTATCCACTCACCCATCCATCCATCCATCACTCATCCATCCATCCATCTACCCATCCACCCACTCTTCCATCTATCCACCCGTCCATCCATCACTTATCCATCCATCCATCCACCCACTCATCCATCCATCCATCCACCCACCCACCATTCACCCATCCACCTACCTACCTATCCATCCATTCATCACTCATCCATCCATCCACCCGCTCATCCATCCATCCATCACTCATCCATGCATCTACCCATCCACCCACCCACCCATCCATCCATTCATCCACCCATCCACCCACCTGCCCATCCATCCATCCATCACTCATCCATACATCCACCCACTCAGCATCCACCCATCCACCTACCCACCCATCATCCATCCATCACTCATTCATCCATCCATCCCTCATCCATCCATCCATCCATCCCTCACTCATCCATCCATCCACCCACTCATCCATCCATCTACCCATCCACCAACCCATCCATCCATCACTCATCTATCCATCCACACATCCACCCACCCACCCATCCACCCATCCATCACTCATTCATTCATCTACCCATCCACTCACTCCTCCATCTATCCACCCATCCATTCATGACTCATTCATTCATCCACCCACTCGTCAATCCACCCATCCATCCCACCCATCCATCCATCCATCCAACTGCCCATCCACCCACCCACCCACTCATGTATTAGTCATTTATTGAGTACTTACTAAGGCAGAGAGACTGAAAGAGACAGAAAGAAAGAGAAAATAAAGAAACAGCAGACTAAAAGATGAGGCATTTAATCCATTCATTCCATAACTAACCCATTAATATATTCATTCAGCAAACATTTGAGACAAATGAGGCCATGCTCATATGTACTTGCTCATGGCCCACCACAAGGTAAGCACTCAATAAATGTTAGTTGATATTACCATTGTTAATGAGTGCCTACTGTGTGTCTGGAGCTTGTATGTGCATGGGAGAGATGTGGAGCTACAGAGGCAGATGGAGGAAGGGCGTGGCACAGAGAGGGTTGGGAAGAGAAGAGATGGAGAAAGGAAGGAAACAGACACTAAGAGAACGAGGGCTTGGAGACACTCATTCAGTCATTCAACAAGCATTTTTTTGGCACCTTTTATATGCTAGGTTCTGGGAGAGAAGAGCTAGCCCAGGGCCACCATGAGGCAGGAATGCTCTCTCTGTCACGTTCTTACCTGGCCCAGTGCCTGGCACATCTTGGGATGCAGTAAGACTCTGTTCAATGAATAAGAGGCTAAAGAGGAGGAAGATGGAGGCACAGGGTCTGGGAAGGAGAAGAGGGGAGAGTAGGGGAACAGAGAAAACCCTAACAAGAGGCAGCGGGGCCAGAGGGGAAGGGGGAATGCAGTTGGGGAAATTGAGGCCAGGGCAGGTTGTGGAAGCAGGTGGGACAGGGTTGCAAGGGTGGACAAAGCCGGCATCTGGCTGTACCCAGCCTGTCTTGCCATGAGAATGGGACAGCCATTCTCTTCCTTTCCTCTTCGCCGGGGGTTGAGATTTTCCATCTCAGGGCAGGTGCTGGGAAAGGGGGTCATTAGCATCCACAGTAGGGTAAGAGGTGTGCTCTCCTGTTGACAGAGGCACAGGCACAGACACAGCCTCTAATGAGGGCACTTAGGCAGCCACCACTATACCTCTTCCTGAACTTTGACCTTTGAGCCAAAATAAAAAGGAATACTGCCCCTGCCAGATCTCACTGAGGCAGCCCTCAGGACTCAGCAGCGCCCCACTTCCTCCACCAGCCTGGACTTCCTGGGGTGGGGGTGGGGGTGGGGAGGAGGGTTTGCAGGAGGGGTCCAAGGGAGGCGAAGGGGAGACACAGAGCCCACTAGCTTTCAACAGGACCTGGGAGGGCTTGGGGACAGAAGGATGGGAACCCTGGGCACTCTGCTGCTCTGGCCCTCAGTTTCCACCTCTGAGTAGAGGTGGTACAGATTTTTCAGCACACAGACAACTGTGAAGCCCTGTTCCTTGGACATATCTGCAGAGCCTCTCCAGCCTTAGGCCCTTGCACTCACATTTCTCTCCACCTAGGACACCCTTCCCTCCCTCTCTGTGGCTGCCCCTTCGCAGCCCTTAGCTTTAGGCTTGAATGTTGACTCCTCCAAGAAACCCTCCTGGATTACCTTTCTTGTATCCACCCAGTCTCTAACTTCAGCACCTCCCCCAACTCACATGGCATATCCATGTGCTCAGCTACTTGCTTCTTGCCTGTCTCACCCTCTAAACTGAAAGTGTTGCCTGAGTAGAGGTGGATCTGGTCTGGCTCAGCCAGTAGCCTCAGGACTAACCCCACTGACTGGCAGATAGTGGGCACTCAAGAAACATCCACTGACTGGGTGTGGTGGCTCACGCCTGTAATCCCAGCACTTTGGGAGGCCGAAGTGAACAGATCACTTGAGGTCAGTAGTTCGAGACTAGCCTGGCCAACATGGTAAAACCCTGTCTCTACTAAAAATACAAAAATTAGCCGGGCGTGGTGGTGCACACCTGTAGTTCCAGCTACCCGGGAGGCTGAGGCAGGAGAATCACTTGAACCTGGGAGGAGGAGGTTGCAGTGAGTCAAGATTGTGCCACTGCACTCCAGCCTGAGTGACAGAGCAAGACCCTGTCTCAAAAAAAAAAAAAAAAAAAAAAGGAAAAGAAACATCCACTGAATGAATCAATGACTCTGTGAAAAAATAAAGCGGGCAGCTCTTGACCAAGCAAGGGCTGCGAAGGTGAATGGGCTCCATCCAAGAGATAAATGAATCCATGGCCAGCAAGGGGAACAGAGGAGGACCAGGCAAGCCCAGGTCATCTCCAGACCTCAGGACCATCCTCCAGGACACACACACAGGCAACCAAGAGGGGATTTCACGGAGCAGCTGAGGAAAGGGTCAATTCAGGGCACATTAGGGACAGCAGGGCCGGGACCGAGAAAGGATATGTCTGGTTCAGCAGGGCCTGCTGAGGCTCAGGAGGAGCTGGCTAGGAAACTGTAAGCCCTGCTCCCTTCCCTAAACTGCCAAAAGCTCGTGGAAGTCCCTGGGCTTCCTAAAGGACCAGGAGGGAGGGCTCAACCTCACAAAGCAGGGAGTCTGCAGGTGACAGACAACAGGGTCATGCTGGAAGCAGAACCTGGGATGACTGAGTTTGCAGAGTGCCACACAAACCACATGAGATGCCAGGCAAATGCCTCTGAGTCTAGAGTCTGGGCTGCAAGACTCAGCTCAGCAGAACCCATTGGGGGAGGATGGGGACCAGACAAGGTGGTCGAGGTGGGCTGGAGGCTCCCTGTCCCCAGCTAGGCCTGGCATGGAATACATAACAGGAGCCACATGCTGTCACCCCATCCAGGGCTTCTCTCCACTGTCTTTTCTTTCAGCAAGGCTGTCATTATGGAAAAGAAAGGGTGAATGCCTCGGGGTTTCCAGCTCTTTCTAAGCCTCAGGAAAGCCACTGGATGGCCAGGAATAGAGGTGATGCTTGAAGAAGACCCAGGAGGGGCAGCTGGATGTGTGCCAGGAAGAGAAGGTAGGGAGATGGATGGATGAATAGATGCAAAAATGAAAGAAAAGATGAGCAAATGAATACATGAATCAGTGACTAAGCAAACAAAGGAACGAATGGACAAATGGATGGACAGAGAGCTGGGTAAATAAACTGGCGGTTAGAAGACAGAAGGAGGGGAAGGAAAGACAGAAGGCAGGCAGGTGAGCAATCAAGCATGAGAAATGGAATGAATGAATGAATGAATGAATGAATAGTTTGATAGCTGAATGGCTAGATGAATAGAAACAGTGGGTAGGTGAGAGGATGGAATGACATTCAGACGAGAAAATGGTAAATGAATGGAAGGTTGGTTATATGGGTGTATGGCTGGACAGATGGCCGACAGATGGGTAGATGGGTAGATAGATATTTTAATGAGTGGACAATGGATGGATAGATTGGACAGGTGGACAAAAAAGTGGAAAGATGGGCATCTGGGTGAATGAATGAGTAGATGGTAGATGGATAAATGGATGGATGGATGGATGAACAGATGTATAAATAAGAAGATAAACAAATGGAAGGCTGGATGTGTAGGTGAAGAGACGGACAGACAAGTAGATGAATGGGGGACAGATGAGTAGGTAGATATGTAGGTGAATAAAAAAGCAGATGAGGCTGGATGCAGTGGCTCATGCCTATAATCCCAGCACTTTGGGAGGCCAAGGCAGGTGGATCACGAGGTCAGGAGTTCAAGACCAGCCTGGCCAAGATGGTGAAAACCTGTCTTTACTAAAAATACAAAAAAAAATTAGCTGGGTGTGGTGGCGGGTGCCTGTAATCCCAGCTACTCAGGAGGCTGAGACGGGAGAATTGCTTGAACCCAGGAGGTGAAGGTTTTAGTGAGCCAAGATCACGCCACTGCACTCCAGTCTGGGCAACAGAGCAAGACTCCATCTCAAAAAGAAAAAAAAAAGCAGATGAATGAATGGAGAGTTAGATGAGTAAATAGTTGTATAAATGAGTGGGTGGAGGGGTGAATGGGTAAATCGGTGAATGAATGGATGAATGGATGAACAGACAAATGTCCAATGGAAGGGTGGACAGAGGGGTAAATGGGTAGAGGAATGGATGATGGATTAATAGATAGATAGATGATGAAAAGATGGATGGATGATGGATAGATGGGTAGATGGATGGATGGATGGATGGATGATGGGTGGATAGATAGATGATGCATGGATGGATGGATGGATGGATTAATGGATAGATGGACATATGGAATAATGATGAATGGATGAATAGATGGACAGATGGAAGGATGATGGATGAATGGATGGATGGATGATGGGTAGATGGATAGATGGGTGAATAGTAGATAGATGGACAGATGGAATAATGATGGATAGATGGATAGATGGATAGATGGAAGGATGATGGATAAATGAATAGATGGATGGATGGATGATGAATGATGGGTGGATGGAAAGATGGATAGATGATAGATGGCTGGATGATGGATAGATGGATGGATGGATGGATGGATGGATGGATGGATGGATGATATATGGATGGAGAGATGAATGGATTGATGGATAGATGTATGGATGGTTGGATGGATGGATGGATAGATGGATGGATGGATGGATGAATAGATGGATGGTTGGATGGATGGATGGATAGATGGATGGTTGGATCGATAGATGGATGGATGGATGGACAGATGGATAGATGGATGGACAGATGGATGGATGGATGG